ATTTCTTTTGTAGTTTTGAAATGTGTTAGTCCCACCGGAAACAAAAACGTCAACTTCCGGTTATAAGAGAAAAACGACATAATTTGAGTATTTTTCTTTCCCATTAATATCTTTTGTAGATAAAGTATTTGAAATGAATTTTAAATATGTTATTCAGACTGCAAATGTCTAGAGTAACGTCAAATATCTTTGAAAAATTTACTTCTGGTCGCGTGTTTTTCTGTCCTCAAAATGAGAAGTTGTTTGAGCAAGCTCTTGGAAACGGTAACAGCTTAAGACACCAAACTTAAATGTTCAACAGACCTTAAGATGTAGGCAAAAACATTTGGGTTCAGAGCGTCAGCCGTCACTTCCGGTCGTCACCGGAAGTCATCAAAGAAATCGAAAATTTCAACTTTCCTTTTTTTAATTAAAAATTGCATAACTTTATTGCATCTTTTTCGCAGATTCAAAATATGTTGATCCTACCGGAAACAAAAACGTCAACTTCCGGTTATAAGAGAAAAACTACATAATTTGAGTATTTTTCTTTCCCATTAATATATTTTGTAGATAAAGTATTTGAAATGAATTTTTAAAATATGTTATTCAGAGTGCAAATATCTAGAGTATCCTTAAATATCTTTCAAAATTTCACTTCCGCTCGCGTGTTTTCCTGTCATCAAAATGAGAAGTTGTCTCAGAGAGATCTCAAAAACAGGGAAAAGATTAAAACACCAAAACTCGTATTAGTAATTGACCTTGAGGAGTAGGCAAAACCATTTGGGTTCAACGCGTCAATCGTCACTTCCGGTTGTCACAGGAAGTGATCAAAGAAATCAAAAATTTAAACTTTACTTTTTTAAATTAAAACTTGCATCACAATATTGCATCTCTTTCGCTGTTTTGAAATATGTTAGATTCCACCGGAAACAAAAACGTTACCTTCCTGTTTAGGAGATAAACTGCGTTATTTTGATATCTAACTTCTTATAAATATTGCTTATCGATAAAGTACCTGAAATGATTTTATGCATGTTTTAGATACTGCAGATGTCTAGAGAAAAGTCAGAGATTTTTATAAAATTCACTTCCGGTCGTATGTCTACCTGTCCTCAAAATTAGAATTTGTTCTTACAATATTGCTCGGAAGCAGTAAACGACTGAAGACTAAAACTTTCAGGACTGATAGTCAGTCATCAGTTTATTTGAATCGTGAGAAAATCTTGTATTGCTGTTACTTCCGGTCGTGACAGGAAGTGATTTAATAAAGTGAATGGTTAGTGATTAGCACGTTGGATTTTCACGCTGACGACTAGGGTTAAATCTCCAGAGTGTCTGAAATTCTTTTATCACTTTTTCAGCTTGAATTTTCGTTTTTATTTTCAGAATCGGACAGAAGACCTCTCATTGCTCGCGACGAGTTTCTAGTTATTATTATTCTTCTTCTTATTATTTTTTTGACTTTCTAATTTTGTGCACGCGATTTCTCAGAGACTATTGAGTTTATTGGGATGAAATTTGCAGGGAAAACGTGTCGTAGGCTGAAGTTATTTTATCCGGGAGCAAATTCCAAAAATCACATCCGTTGCTAAGTTATGGACCATTTCCTGATTTTAAAATGAAATTTTGTCCAGGGATAATCTCAAGAACGGCTAAAGATATCAATGTCAAACTTTCAGGAATAATAGATCATGATAAAGACTTGCCTGGAAGCTTATTTTTGTACGCCATCGGCACTTCCTGTCGCTACAGGAAGTGGCTTTCAAAAATCGATTTTTTCAATTTTTTTGTTTTTAAATATTTTTCTGCGATATTAGTAGGGATAATAAAGCGTCTTATCGGATTACTAAATATATAATTTGTTTTAATGTTGATTCAAACATACTCTAGGAATTCGCTTTTTTCGTTTTAAGTCACTTTCTAATTTTGTGCACGCGATTTCTCAAAGACTATTGAATCGATTTAAATGAAATTTTCAGGAATAATGTGTTGTAAAATGAACTTGATCTGTCTGAGAGAAAATTTGGAAATTTACTTCCGGTGCCAAGTTACCGACCACATTCTGATTTCAAAATGACATTTTGTCCGCGGATAATCTCAAGAACGACAAGAGATATCAATGTCAAACTTTCAGGGATTATAGATCGTGATAGATACTAGCCGGGTCGCTACGTTTTGTTCGTCGTCGGCACTTCCGGTCGCTTACGGAAGTGATCAAAGAAATCGAATTTCAACCTTTTTTTTCTAAATCAATACTTACATCACGTTATTGCATCTCTTTTGTAGTTTCGAAATATGTTAGTCCCACCGGAAATAAAAACGTCAACTTTCGGTTATAAGAGAAAAACTACATAATTTGAGTATTTTTCTTTCCCATTAATATCTTTTGTAGTTATTAATGTCTTTTGTAGCATTTGAAATGAATTCTAAATGTGTTATTTAGACTGCAAATGTCTAGAGTAACGTCAAATATCTTAAGCTTTGTAAAATTCACTTCCGGTCGCGTGTTTTTCTGTCCTCAAAATGAGAAGTTGTTTGAGCAAGATCTTGGAAACGGTAAGAGATTAAGACACCAAACTTATATGAGCAACAGACCTTAAGATGTAGGCAAAACCATTTGGGTTCAGAGCGTCAGCCGTCACTTCCGGTCGTCACAGGAAGTGATCAAAGAAATCAAAATTTTAATTTTTCTTTTTTAAATTAAAACTTGCATCACTTTATTGCATCTCTTTCACTGTTTTGAAATATGTTAGATTCCACCGAAATCAAAAACGTCAACTTCCAGTTTTAGGAGATAAACTACGTTATTTTTATATTTAACTTTCTCATAAATATTGCTTATCGATAAAGTACTTGAAATAATTATATGCATGTTTTAGATACTGCAAATGTCTAGAGAAAAGTCAGAGATTTTTCTAAAATTCACTTCCGGTCCTTGTCTACTTGTCCTCAAAATTAGAATCTGTTCTCAAGATACGGCTCGGCAACAGTAAACGACTGAAATCTAAAACTTTCAGGACTGATAGTCAGTCATCACTTTATTTGAATCGTGAGAAAATCTTGTATCGCCGTTACTTCCGGTCGTGACAGGAAGTGATGCAAAAAAGCGAATTGTTAATGATTAGCACGTTGGATTTTCACGTTGACGACCAGGGTTAAATCTCCAGAGTGTCTGAATTTCTTTTATCACTTTTTCAGCTTGAATTTTCGTTTTGTTTTCAGAATCGGACGGGAGACCTCTCATTGCTCGCAATGAGTTTCTAGTCTTGTTAGTGCAATTTTACTGATGTAAATGTATGGGGCAGAGAGAGAGAGAGAGAGAGAGAGAGAGAGAGAGAGAGAGAGAGAGAGAGAAAGATTGCACAAATGGCAAAGCCAACACTATAACAACAAGTCGTATACAAATATTTTTTGTATAAAAAATCACTAAAATATAATGTTATATATGTTGGATGTTGTTTTTTTTTCTTCTTTTTATCACAACCACTATATAAAATACAACAAACTGGGATTTTCAAGACTAAAGGGGAAAAAGTTTCTGTTGCCTCACGTTTATGTCTATCATGCGACAACCATAAAGGGGGTGGAGGGTGTTACTAAATGCCCATGTGATATGCATATGGACGGAAAAAATGTCACAATAGTACTTAGAAATCATGTGATATACAAAATCAAATCACAACACCTACATTTAAGCAAAAACACAGCATGAATATTCATATTTCAATCAAATTCGATTGTGACCTTGATTATCAAATTGATGGATGGTCATATGATATTTTTCACTCATACAATGAAAATGTGTTTCATTCACACTTGTTAAAATAATCTAACAAACATATCATCACATTAAAAATATTTCAAATATTTTCCAATATAATGTCAATTCTCTTAGAGAAAACACTACAAGCTCAAATTCTAACAAAACCTGGAATTCCCTGGTCATCTACTTTTGAAGAAAATACTTCAATCATAAGTTACACAGAAGGAATGATCTGTTCTTAGTTTTATGTAGTCCACTTCAATTGTTCAGAATAGCACAAGGGAAAAATGAGTCCGATATAAATAAATTGATCTACAATATTATAATATTTTGAATGTAATTTCAAACCACAAAGAATGACCTAAAGCAACCGTTTTTCAAATAAAATTAAGAATTCAAAAAAAAAAAAAAAAAAAAAAAAAAAAGAAAAAGAAAAAAGAAAATTGTATGATTTTTAAATGACTTTTTTTTCTCTACCAATTTAACAATATCCTAGTAAGTTGTATACTCTTAAAGTAGTAAAAAAAAATGTCCACTACTTATTTTTCTACAAAATAAAAAAAAATGAACACAAAATGAAGATGAGATTGAACACAGTAAAATAAGCATGCAGATTTCCGAGTCAGAATAATTAAAAAAAAAATTCCTAATGTTTTCCTGCCATGTAAATTTTTAATCTTTAAATAAATGAATTCATTTTACAACTAATGATAAATATAATATGTGGACCCATTGTTTTTTTTAAGTGCAATTTCGTAACCAAGTCATAATCACTTTCTCACAAGAAGCAAAGAAACACTACATTTATCTGCACAGATAAAAAAAAATGAAGAGATTGGATTGAGCTGTGATTCAAATGATGGTGGGTGGGGTGGAGATATGGGGGTAGGGGTTATTCACAGGCTAGTTTACTGTCAAAACTACTCAGTGCTATTCCAAAAGCTTGGACAGCACAAAGAGGGTAATTAAAATCCATGGTAAACACGTCTTCTGCCACTCGGCCAAACTGCATCACAATATATTCAACTGAAAGCAAGAAAAGAGTTGCTAATCTATTTCTTGATAGGAATATTGTGACAAAGAATAAATTTTGTTTTTTTTTTTTAAATGAATAAAATTTTTGAAAGACATTAATTCTCCTAAAAATAATTGCTTATAAACACTACCACGTGAATATTGATGTAAAAATAATGATAACGAAATTCTGATTATCATTGCATATAAGTTAAGAAAATTTAACCCTAGTTGAATTTTTTCATTCACAGTATTCATACAATCGTTTGTTGTGGAGTTCCAATATATTCTCCATATTTTTTCTCTTGTACCTGTCAGTCAAGCCATCATTGTCCTGCAAAACAACAAATGAATACTTATCCAAATCTGAACCTCATTTGTGGTATAGTAAAACAAACTTATAGTGAATAAGCTTATAATGAATTGACCCTTACACTGAAGTGGTCATCATTCAAAGATATTGTGAACTTTACAGATATAACGAATTTGGTTTATAACGATGAAAAATGGTCCATCCCTGGCACTTCATTATAAGGGTTTTATAGTATTTCGACACTTAGTCTGACTGGTCAACAAATTTCAAAACAACATTTATGTATGATCTGAATAACACTACCGGTTTGATTGTTTGCTTTATTGAAAACCAGCTAGAGTTGCAAAAGTTTACAAAAAAGTGATTATAGAGAAGCAAAACAAGAACAGTTTTAATTTCATTTTCTTACATATTTTTCATCTCCCTCCTTTCTTCTCTATATTGCTTCCATGTGTTGCATATTTGACAACAGATTAAGTTTTAAAATCAAATATATGTATTTTGTTTTTTATTTATTTATTTTTTCTTTTGCATTGTGCAATGAATTGGTGGCACATCTAGAAGGAGTCTTTGAATTACACAGGTGGATGAGGAGGACACCTTTAGTCTCCTATAGTTTCACCGGTAGGGAACTAATGACTCGTATGACAGAGGACAGACTTACTCTTTTTATTAGCAAGAAATGAAGGAACTAATTCAACTTTTTTTTAAATAAATGAATAAAAGGTTAATGATCAACTTACAGATCTTGGCTTGATGTCTACTCGTTCATGACCCAAATTCATCCCAGGAATAATAATGGTCATTTTTCTGGGTCCTTTAAAACCTAAGACATTTGTTTCCTGCAAAAAAATGAGTCAGGAATAGTCATATCAAATAAGCAATTAAATAATTCTCTCTCCAGAATAATAACAATCTCTTACCCCCCCCCCCACCACCACCACACACACACATAAACATACACACCAAAATATTCAATAGCCAAGTGAAAATTTTATTAAAATGTAAATAAACATTGTTTAAATATTGGTAATATGGTAATAATTGGTAAATAATAATTAAATTCACTGTACATCAATGATATATTATTTGATCAATATATATATAATAAAATCTTCATTTAATACTTACATAAATAATTCCGACTAATTCTTTTCTAGCATTTTCATAGTTGCTTTTAGGGTTGTCACCATTGTCAAACAAAGTGAACTGGGTCCCTAATAAGTTGGCCCCACAAAAATACAAAGAGGAATTAAAATCTTGGCCAGTCCCTTATATTGGGACACTGCAAAGTGAAGCATTACAAAAAAATAATTCATATAACATAAATAAATCTTTCTTTTTTGTGCCCATGACAGAAATTAATGTGAAAAAAAACTACTATAGATTGACAAATTTTTGTGACACATTACATTATAGACATGGTTATTTAGTATTTTAATAAGGAAATTTATTTATCATCTTTAAAAACACAAAAGTACTCTAGAAAGACATTTTCACTTGCAGACAGTCTTGTGTAATAATGCAAAATATTAGTTCTTGCAGTTTAAAAGTGATTTTCTATACATTCAACAATCTATCAAACTTTTACAAGTTTCCGATAAGGGAGGTAGGTATTACATGAGTTTGCCTACATAGGCCTTGCCTCCCCTGGACAGATCTGTAGGATCCAGGGATATCAGGTAGTTAGATGTTTTACTCTTCTTCCTCTTCCTACCAGCCAGTAAACACCTAAAAAAAGACAGTAGATACACATGTAGAAAGAGATCAAAGGAGATTAACGTACCTATAATACAAACTCAACAGTTTATACAAAAGAAAAAAACTGCTCACTATACTGATTTGCTTACCCTTTTAATTAAAATTCATGTTAGAAATATATACCCTTTGTAATGAAATGATATTTATACCCAAGTAAGAGATTCTGTCTCAGGAAAATTTTAATCCCCTATTTGTCAAGAACAACCCAAAACATATTTCATTTATCCACTAAGCATTTTTCCATTATCTTAGTCTAAATGGAGAAAGTAAAGTGGATCAATTCCTTGATCTACATCTTTTTTGTCACGAGCCAAATGAGGAAAATGTCTCTGACATTCTGATGTGTGTGAACGTTATCCTGCAAAAGAGGACTTCAAGTGATCACTTCTTCATTTGTTAAGAGATTATTTTGCTGTGGCAAGCTTGTCGGAACTCCTTCCGTGAAATTATGAGATTCGTCCAAACTATCGACACTGGACAGACTAACACTGTCAACATATTCTCCATTGTCAATCTCTTTCTGAACTTCTTCATTGAATTCATTGAAAGCTCTTCTCTGCTGATCAATCAACTGCTGTTGCTGTTGTTCCAATTTTTGCTCAAATAAACTTTTGCTGCTGTTCAAGTTCTTCAAGCTCCTGTTGTGCAGTTTATCCTGTGAACTATTGACCCTTGACTGTTCTGTATCTGTATACCAGAATTTCCTCTGACCAGTCTTAATTTCTCCTCTTGATTTCGGCTAGGGGATGGGGCATCTGAAAAAAAAAATTCAAAAAGAAAATTCATTTGGGGTAGGAAATATATAACTGTAATAATAAATTTCACATCAGTAACCCACTTTGTAAATTCTCTGCACTAAAGATGAGTAGTCTGAATGTGAACAGATCTTATTATGAAACAATACATCTAAACAAAGCAAGTACAAATGCTATCTTCAATTCTAAATACACAGCGTGGTCACAAAGCTCTTAAACTCTGTTGCAACATTAAAAAGAAAATATACATTATCCTCTCTCTTTAGACACTTTCCTTGCCCTTGAGTGCCTACCACTTGGCGGCCGTGACGGGATGTGAGATCGCTGATATTTCTCTGTTGCCTCCTGTTGTTGCTCTCTTCGTTTTATTAAAATCTGTTGTCTTCTTTTTTCTTCTCTCTCTTTCTCCAGTTTTCTCTTTGTGGCCTGTGCCCTGGAAATACACAATAGGTGATTTGCTTTTTCTATTTGATTTTATATGACCTTATAAAAGAAAAACTGTACAGTGTCTAATAGGTCTGGGACTAAGTTTGTTCCACATATTTTGAGAACACAATTCATACTTCCGTCTTTTGTTGGTCTCCACCGAGAGCTTCTTTGCTCTGGCAACAGCATCTCCCACTTCGTCAGTCTTCAGCTGTTTTAACTGATCTATACGCTGTTTCTCTAAGTATTGGTATGTTTTCTGACATGATATTAAGGACAGAATACTTGTTTATAAAATATTTGAAAAAATACCACTTTCTTCATTGAGATATCTATCATGATACAGAAAATGTTTTTATCACAAGTTCAGCATGATGTTAATATCTCATGATGGCTGATATTTATAGTTTTTATCAGATCAAACAATTAAAATATTTTACAGAATTATTATCCCCTCGCAATGAAGTTGGAGGGGATAAAGTAAATTAGTAATGTGCTTGTGACTGTGCTTGCGAGTTAGCTTGTATGTGCGTGAGTGGGTAATGGAAGTTAATAATTTATTTTGGGATCGATGTGCTCTTTTACAAGGGGATGCTATGCTTTGCGATGCCCTGGTTTATCCATAGGCACCTTGGCTGAAAAGTGGATATCCCCCTTTCCCCACCTTGATTAAAAAATTATGAGAATTCCCAATCAATGACATCCATATTCAATTCTATGCAAGCAGATTGTAATTTTTCTTACATTTAGAGATTGGCTATATATGGTATAATAAAAATACACATTAAGAAACAAAATTGATAAACAAACAGGAGGTTCCCTGCTTTGAGACATATTTCCAAGGTAATAACAATGTTACCTATCATTTTTTTTCAAGAATTTTGTCAGGTAGATGATCTTCTACTAGTTTCTTTAACCTAAACTGCATCCTTATTGTCTTATATGCTGTAATCAGACAATTTATTAAACGGACACATACAGTGTAACATTTTATCATTGACGGCAATAAAGGAGGTTCTGATGTATGCCGATCTATTTCGCTTTATCTGATTAGACAGTGTATAACTGTTAACCAAGTAGATAAAGAAAAATGAAGTGATAAGACCAAAACCCCCTTTATCACTGTCAATGAAGAAATTGGAATTGGAGCTGGGCTAGGGGTACGTATCCACACTTCAGGTGCCTGTGCTTTATTTAGTTTTAACTTTACTCTTTAAGTTGATAACAGGACATACATTTTTTTTCACATCACATTGTTGAGATGTCAATGCTTTTTGCATGAATGTTTATATGAAGCTCATAAATGTGGTAGAAACTGTGTAAAACATGTGAGAACAATGTGTAAAACATGTCATAAAAAAGAATACCCCATGGTATGCGGAAAGATATGAGTTTTACCCAGATGATTTTGTGGATTTTTGTTCCCTCGTCATGCCTCGGAGGAAAAATCTATATGGATAATAATCACATCCTATCACAAACCATGGGAAATCATACAAATGTAACTTGATTATTTTGTTATACTTCAATATTCTCCACTTGTACTCCCGGGTTCATCAAGACAATATAAAGATTAAACTTCTTCAATATATGAAAAAGGATACGAATAAGCACCAGCTAACATTTTCTAGTTTTCCTTTCATGCGTAATGTATCTTCATTTTGAAGCACTCACGCACTGATCTCAAACGTTCCAAGAATTCTAGACAATTCGACTCTTTCCCAAACTTCTTACAAAGCACTTAAAATCTTAGCAGTGTAGCTAAAATTAAGATATTTCCAATTCCAACCTAAAATTTAAAATGTTTTATCTGATCAGCCAGGAATGTTGGCTCACAGTGCCGCCATGTTGTTTTGGTTACAGAATGCGCAACGTCTCCATGCTCTAGTGGTATTTCCGGTATATCAAAGGCGACAGATAATTTTTCCGGATAAAAACGACACTTCTTCAATTTAAAAATAAATAAATAAAAACACAAAAACAAACAAAGAAATAAATAAATAAAGATAAAAAAAGGAAAGAAAGAAAAAACAAATAAAGAAAATCAGTCGAATGGGGTGCATTTCAGTTGAGGCGGAAGGGGGGGGACTGAAATTTCTTTACTATAAATTATTTTTGAGGGGGTTGGGGGGTTGAAACTGTTATTTTTAAGTTGGTTTTCTTGTGAAGTTATCAAAAGCTCCCCAACCAAATCAGTACTTAAAACATAATGTACCCCTATACTATAAATTTAAGTCAACATTGATTTTTAAGTAGTTTAGTGTAGGATATAATAATTTAATACCCTAATAGTATGAGGATATTAAGACATTTATTTATATTGACTAAATTGGAATGGGAGCGCCTATATGATTGTATTACTATATAATACATGTATAGTGTTCCTACACTGGCAGTACTTTTGGCCATGATCATTCATGTACCCCTTCCCCAGAATCCCATGGACCTGAACTATTTTCGATTTCTGAATGCAATTAAACATAAATATACAAACATTACTCGATTTTAACAGACAGTTTGTACATGCGCGGATCTGGGGGGGGGGGGGGTCCGGACCCCCCTGGAATTTGCAGAGTTACTAAAAGTATATACTGAAGCAAATAAAAAAAGGCTTTGGACCCCCCCTAAAAAACGTGGACCCCACCCTCACCACCAGGAAATAGGTGTTTTTCATGTTATGGAAATGGATTTTATGTTTCTGTTTTTTTTTTTTTTTTTTTTTTTTTTTTGTTTTGTTTTGTTTTTGTTTTTGTTTTTTTTCCTTGTCAAGAAATTTTTTGGATAGGGATAGGAATTTTGGTTTCTTTCTTTTCTTTTTTTTTTTTTTTTAATTTTTCTTTTTTTTTTTTTAATTTTTCTTTTTTTTTTTTTTAAATTTTTTTTGCTTGTCAAGAAATTTTTTGGTTTGAATTTTTTTTTGGACTGGGGTGGACCCCCCCCCCCCCCCCCACTGGAAAAAAATTCCTGGATCCGCGCCTGTTGTATTGTATGGTTTGGGAAATCAAATGAAAAAAAAAATCAAAATTAATTCGAAATTAAAACTCTACGAAATTCCTCAAGGTTCAAGCAGACATAAATGTATGTCATTTATATATGCATAACATTGCAATTAATTATCTCATTCGCTCCTCGCTGTACCGGCATTCAGATAATCTATAGAAAACAAACAGTCCTGTATGGATTTTTTTTTATTCGGAAACCATTTTATTTTACTCTTTAGATTTAGTGGACAATTTTCAAGTTAAAAAATATTATGTACTATCTGAACCTAATGAACACATGCTTTCATTTAACACTTCTTTCTGATACTAATATATTTTACTAACATTTCCGCAAAAAAATATTTAGTAGTCCGGTCCGTTTTAAATCTATAGAACTTTATCTCCAATGAGGAAGTGAATTAATGTTATCGCATTCTTCCACTTCGAAGTTCAGGCAATTCTAAAACTGTAACTATATATATATATATATATATATATATATATATATATATATATATATATATATATATATATATATATATATATATATATATATATATATATATATATATATATATATATATATATCATTACTGAGCCTTGAAGCTCAGTTATGATTTTATGACATGCCTGGACTTGTTACTTGCACTGCAGTGCTTTTATCTACAGACAGGCTATAAAGATTAAGGACAACTTAATAAATCATGGCCGTAGGAACCTGAGGGGCACGGGGGGCGTGCCACGCCTCCCCCCCCCCCCCACAGTAATTTTGCCGATATGTAGAATACAATAAAAAAACATAGCTGTATTGTAGATCTATATCTTACAAATGTCACAAAGAATACATTCATTTTCTTCTTTTTTTAATACACAAACTTATTCATTTTCAGATGGCATTATCTAAAATAGATATACCCCGCAGAGCCCAACACTTTTTAGAATGTGGCATTGAAGAATGTGAAAGAAACTGCGAGTTCTATTGCAACCCTTGTCATCAAAGATTGTGCAAACAATGCAGCAAGGAACATCTGAAAAGTCCAGAAAACAAAAACCATGAGGTGGTTCTTTACCAGCAACGCAAACGTCAACTTCCTGTGGAGAAATGTAAGATCCACCCCACTAAAGATGTAGACATGCTCTGTGAAGAATGCCACATTCCAGTATGTTCCAAATGTGTCACACAAAGAGAGCATCGGGGGCATATATTTACTGACCTAGAGACTGTTTATGCAGAAAAATATGCAGACTTTCAAGAAGAAATTAGAAAAATCCATGAATACTTTCTCCCTATATCACAAGATTTACAGGAAAGAATTAAAAAAGATTCATCAGAAATCAAACACATCATGGACAACATCAGAACATCCATGAAGACTGAAGGTGAGTCCCTGAAAAGTCTAGTGGATACAGTCGTATCTGAGAACATGAAGCAGTTAGACCAGATAGAGCAATCACTGTTAGAAGATCTAAACACCCAAGACAAGACCATGGATGATTACATCACATATCTTAATAATCTTGTCAAAGAGCTCCACATATGTCTGTCCTCTACAGAAACCCAGAAATTAATGTCTGAGAAGAAGCCAAAGATCCGATCCATACCAGAGACAACAAAACCAGTCACACCAGGATTTACTGCTGGTCAGTACAGGAAAAGTGATGTCACCAAATTACTTGGTAAAATACATGTTCCCAACACTAAGGCAGAGAAGAGAGAAATAAGGCCCATTGAAAGTGTCTGCAATCCAGCAATGAAACCTACACATAAACAGATGAAAGAAGACAGAAAGAAATCTGACAAGAAACAGACAATGTCTCTATCTGCCTCTGTCACCAAGGTCAGGGAGTTCAATGTACCAGTTGTTGATGGTGTATTCCATGTAACACTAGATCAATCAGACTGACTCTGGATCAGTGACAGTAATGGTAATCTTGTCCAAACAGATCTACAAGGGAATGTGATACAGAAGATAAAAACCAGTGGTGAGGATCAAGGTTACCACACAGTGACACAGGACGGGGATCTGATCTTTACAGACAAAGACAAGAAAGTCATCAATAGGATAACACAGGATAATAATATCACTGAATTCATTAAAACTGGAAACTGGGAACCACTCAGCATACACTCCTCCCACATCAACGGGGACTTACTGGTGGGGATGACTGGTAAAGTCACCAGGTACAACAAGACAGGAAAAGAACTACAGAACATAGAGAGGGATAACAAAGGACAGGGACTGTATAGTACACCATACTACATCACAGAAAACATCAATGGAGATATCTGTACATCAGACTTTGATAATGGAGTAGTGGTGGTGAATAAATCAGGACAACACAAGTTCTCCTACACAGGTCAGGAGTCATTGTTCCCTCCCTATGGAATCTGTAATGATGTCATCGGTCACATCCTGGTGTGTGATGCTGAAAGTGAAACTGTACACCTCCTTGATCAGGAGGGTCAGTTCTTGTTTCTATTACTCACACGACAAGAAGGGGTAAAGTATCCTCTTACTGTGTGTGTGAATGATGAGAACAATCTCTATGTGGGACAATTAACCAACACACTAACAGTGTAGAAGTATCTCCAGTGATTCTTATTTTGGGATAAACATATTGAATGTTGCAGCAGGCTTAATAAGTTATCAAGTTGTGCATTAAGCTATCATTTTATTATTTTGTATCAGTTCATGACTTTAATTGTCACATAAAAATAAAAAGTATTGCATAAAATCAAATTTATCTAATAATATTTAAAAAAAATATAACAAACTATTGGGAAGTTACTATATAAATAAAACTCAATAAGTTTTATTGTTTAATAGCTGAAACTAAAGTATCATTTTACTC